TAGAATAGAATAGAATAGAATAGAATAGAATAGAATAGAATAGAATAAGGAATAGAATAGGATAGGATGGGATGGGATGGGATGGGATGGGATGGGATGGAATGGAATAGAATAGAAAAAGGAATAGAATAGAATAGAATAGAATAAGGAATAGAATAGAATAGAATAGAATAGAATAGAATAGAATAGAATAGAATAGAATAGAATAGAATAGAATAGAATGACAGAGTTGGAAGGGACCTTGGAGGTCCAATCCTCTGCTTAGACAGGAAACCCTATACCATTTTAAAAAAAAGGTTGTCCAACCTCTTAAAAACTTGCGTTGAAGCACCCACAAATTCTGAAGGCAACCTATTCCTCTCATTAATTATTCTGTCAGGAAATTTCTCATTGGTTCTAAGCGGCTTCTCTCCTTTATTAGTTTGCATCCGTTGCTTCTTGTCCTGCCTTCAGGGGCTTTGGAAAATAGGTAGACCTCCCTCTTCCTTGTGGCAGCCCCTGAAATATTGGAACACTGCTGTCATGTTACCCGCAGCCCTTCTTTTCATTAGCCTAGGCATAGCCAATTCCTGCATCCGTTCTTCATATGTTTTAGCCTCCGGTCCCCTTATTTCCTGGCGACTCTTGCTTTTGATCATGTGTTGCTTGTCCATGTCTTTGCAAACCTGCTTATCTAGTGCATATCTAGTGCATTTCCCCGTTACATTTATGCAATCGAATCCCTACCCCAAGTTAATATGATTAGAATAAATGCTTCTATCACTTTTCTGCTGTTGGAAATCCTGTAGACGTTTGATCTGAACGTAAGAATGACCTTTATCAGTGTGATTAAAAAAAGAATAGAGCAACGGGGCTATGGGATTAAGGGTCCCTTTGATCAGAGTTATCGCTACTCCTCTCCTTCCCCCAAATCCTGCGGGTATTTTAAAGAATAGCAGAAGCACGGCTAAATATTAGTCATCCTGGTTTCCTCTGGGATCAGAAGTACGGCTGGCTGGAGAAATCCTCCTACCAGTTCTCCTTCCATTGGATGAAATAGAATTGGCTTTAAGGTTATTTGTGCTCTTGCTTGGTGATATGGTGGCCAACTGGGGTAGGTGGATGGATTTTCGTGTGAAGGTTACGCCACCTACTCTGCAGTGGCCTGGAGCCTCCCTGGCTTCTCATGCGTCCATCACCCTTTTCTCTTTTTAGGAGGAGCAGTGCAGGAGACATAGGCATTGTTGATATCTAAAAACAGACAATTTAATTTTATTTAAAATAGACAGAGACTGTAGCCTAGTACTGGTGTTGTTACCTAACTGGATAAAAGAAAACCGCCAAGAAAACCGCCAAGCTTAGAGAGCACCAAGTACCCCACATTCAATCCTGAGCTACAAACATTCTCTCTCTCTCTTTTTAAATGTAGAATCAGATTATTATTCTTTTGGTGATTACATGGAGATAACTATTTAAAGCAAGGGTCTCCAACCTTGGCTACTTTAAGACTTGTGGACTTCAACTCCCAGAATGCCTCAGCAGCTTTGCTGGCTGAGGAATTCTGGGAGTTGAAGTCCACGAGTCTTAAAGTGGCCAAGGTTGGAGACCCTGGTTTAAAGAAAGTGTATTTCACACAATTACAAATTTTGACTCTCAATGTGATTTTCCTCTGTACATATATAAATGAAGAACGCTGTTACTGAACACACATATAAAACTGCAAGCATAGATAACACATCATGTTGTTGAAGAGACATGTCCTTTCATAAATTCAATACAGCATATGGAATATACAAAATGCACCAATGTCTGTAATACAGAAGTTGTTTCCTTTTTCATAGTAACAATGTTTTAAAAATAATGAAATGCTAAATCCAAGAATACATTTTCAAAAGGTTGTGATGCCAAATGCCTTTGTTACTTGTCTATTTCTATCTTTCCACATTATAATATTCCACAATATTATAAATATTCTCTTTTATTGGTACATTGACTTTTATTGTCCACCATGACTTTGGTTATTTGAAACTTTCAAAGAAAGGGTGTTTCTGGTGTTGTTTTATTTTAGCAAGAGAGAAACTAGATTATTAGCCTCACAATATTCAGGGCAAATGCAATATTTCTTTCTGATGATATGATGTGGCCAGTCAGGACATGTTTGGGCCAGATGCCACAAAGGCATCTGGAGTTGAGCTGAACTACCCCATAGTGCAGGGCCAGGACATTAATGGAGCATGACGTGCTTGTTTTGTGCTGCAAGACAGTTTCGTGAGGAGACTCGGCCATTTTAATTAGTTATTGCCTTATGGCTTTTATGTTCGGTTATTTTACGCCTCAGTTTTATTAGCTTCCGAGAATTATTTCCTGAAGCTGAGGAGCCTTGTGCATTTGGAAATAAATAAGGGGAAAAGATGTTTTTGCTAGACTGTGCAGGCTTGGGTCTGTAATCTAGGACAGGGGTCTCCAACTCTGGGAGTTGAAGTCCATAAGTCTTAAAGTTGCCAAGGTTGGAGACCCCTGATCTTGGAGTTACTTTACGAACCAACATACTGTTGCATGCACTCCTCTGTTCACAGCCAAATACCCTACACCAGCAGGCTTGATATTTTGAATTTGGACAACCTAGAACTCCACTGCCTACAGTTTGACTTAACCATTGTTTATAAAATAATCTGCTTTAATGTACTACCAATTGATGACTTTTTCACATTCAACTACAACAATAAAAGAGCACACAACCGATACAAACTCAATGTAAACCGCTCCAAACTCAATTGCAGAAAGTATGACTTCAGCAACAGAGTGGTCAATGCCTGGAATGCACTTCCTGACTTCAAACCCACATTCCTTTTCCCTCAAACTATCCACTATTGACCTCACTCCATTCCTAAGAGGTCTGTAAGAGGCACGTATAAGTGCACCATCGTGCCTCCCGTCCCTGTCCTATTGTCCCCAATTATCCGTACCCGTTTCCTGTATTTATACTTACGTTTATTATCTTGTAAGCTATTGACAAATAAATAAATAAAATAAATGAAGCCTGCTAACTCAGAGCTAGAGGCGGTGTCTTCACACACACCTAAGTTCTCCGCCTTCCCTCACTTCCCAGGGGACATTGGCAATCATTCCAATGAATCAAATCGCCCCCTTTTGTTCCTCTTGTTCGCAGAAACATTCCGATAAATTCTCGGCCCAGAAATTGGATGGAGAATTTTGTGAAGCTCTTCATGCCTGGTTCTAATCAAAGTCATTAATTCCTCTGAAGACAGTATAAACGCTGGATGTCAGCGGAAGTGATGTGCGGATGCAACGGAGCGCTCTGTATACTGCACTTCTCTGTGTTAGAAGTTGTAGAGAATATTCATAGTTTGGGTTGTAGATTTAGCCAGAGATTTGCTTGGCTCCTGAATGTTTCTTTACCAGACTAGGTAACCACTTCAGCAGGGGTGGTTTTTGGGTGAAGTGTCTTGTACATTTATATAGGTCCTGGGTGGTCAGTTGGTCTTGTGACCGGTTGAATTGCAGGACTGATTGAATCATAATTGGGTTTCTCCGTGTATAAAATATCATCTATTTATTTACAAATGTGTAAAATGCACAAATCACACATATACATAAAGTCTCATTCACATTTTACACAGGCATAAAGTCCAAAACAGCCTCATGTAATTATGCCTATGTAAAATCCCATTTGGATTTAATGGACACTCTGATTTAATGGACATCTGTTAAATTAAAGTCTTACTCTGTAAGTTTTTGGGAAATTACGAGGGGAGCACTGTTGCTCTGTCTTCCTTCTTGGTTCCTCCAAGAGATTTTATTTTATTTATTTTTTATTTGTTTATTTTGTCAAGCGATTATTAGATAACAGGTATAAGTATAAACATGGTTATGAATACATGAAATGGATACAAATAAGAAAAAAGAAACAATAGGACAGGGACGGTAGGCAGGTTGATGCGCTTATGCACGCCCCCCTACAGACCTCTTAGGAAAGGGGTGAGGTCAATAGTAGACAGTCTAAGATTAAAGTTTTTGGGGTTTGGGGAAGAAACCACAGAGTCAGGTAGAGTATTCCAGAGATCTGACTGGCTACTGTAGATACTGTGGCTGTAGATTTCATCCGGGCTAATTCTTCTTTACTTATCAATCTCCAATAGCTTTTATTAGCTTGGCGTGGAAAGGCAATTATTATTATGCTGAAGAGGGCAACTGAAGTGTGAAAGGAGACAAACTGTGCTCTGACCGCAGATCATTGGCTC